TATTTTACCTAAATTCTTTATATGGAAGTTGTTTGTGACTCTTTTCTAGAAAATTGAAAGAAATATTAGCTCCAGGTTCATTTTATCAAGCAAGCATCATTTTTTCAGATAAAAAGTTTATTAAACCCAACACTTCGAGCAGAGTAAGATCTTTCCTAACCTTATGGAAACACAGTAAAGAAAAAAACAATCACATGTGCTTATACCATTAGAATGTGTGGAAATAAGCCGGCCCAAACTGGTTCAGAATTTCTCTGCTCTGTGTGTGTTACATATGTGCTACATTTCATTGTCTAATCTTTTTAGTTTGTTTTAAGGAATCTTAGGGCATGTAAGGTTGTGTAAATTGATAAGCATTCTTTTGGAAATGGATTCCTCTCTAGGTAGCAATAACCTTAGCCGAACTTTTATGGGATCAGCTGGAAGCATTGCGAAAGATGAGTTCAGGGAGTCAGTCGAAAAATCAACAACCTTTCAATGCCCGATCAGTGGATAACCTTATTGGATTTCTAAACGAACCATTGCCCTTGGATGCGGATGACGAGGAGTGCTTTGTTTGTGTTGTTGTTCACAACATTGATGGGCCTGGGCTGCGCAATCCAGATGATCAACAGTTTCTTGCAAGGATTGCATCTTGTGCAAACGTCCGAATGGTTGCTTCTATTGATAATATCAATGCTCCTCTTTGTAAGTGTCATCCTTTTAAAAGAATTCATGAAGTTTTTTTCTACTTGTGTTTGTTAGTGCATTGTTCCAAATGTCATTGAGTCATTCTATTTCTGTGCAACGGCAAAATGGTTTAAGTGATATCTGATATAGCTTCAATGTGAGTTTTGTAATGAAAAAAAACCAGGAAACTTTTCTTTTTGCAGTTTGTATTCTCACATAAGGAGAGTGGTTATCCAGATGGTATGTTTGGATTCCAACATAATGCTGTAAAGGAAAAATTGTCATGTGAAGTTACTTTTGTGTGTGTGTGTGTGTTCGGTTTAACCACAAAAAATGAAAAGATTAATAGAATATGACTGGTTTTTTTATAATAAATTTCAATCTTTTATTTTCCTGCTTGCATTTTTTTTCCTTCTAATTTTATCCAAATCTCTTATTTGTTTTCCTCCCCAATTTCTTTTTTGTTATGGGAAGTATGGGACAAGAAGATGGTACATACACAGTTCAACTGGTACTGGCTCCACGTGCCCACCTTTGCACCCTACAAAGTTGAAGGAATGTTTTTCCCTCTAATCCTTGCCCATGGAGGTAGTGCTCAAAGTGTGAAGACAGCATCACTTGTCCTCCAGAGTTTGACACCCAATGCTCAAAATGTATTCAAAGTTCTCGCGGAGCATCAGTTGGCCCACCCTGATGATGAAGGCAAGTAATATCTACTAAAACTTCTAGCTACCTTCAAAATCACAATGGCCTTGTTTGGGAACAACATTTTCAAATAGCGTTAGTGTGACTAAAACTAAATGCTTCTATTAGATAACTTTTTTGAAATGCGGAAGCTGTTATCAAACAGGCACCATACCCTTGGCAGAAATATTTACAACTATTGGGTCATTCCTTCTTTGGGTTCCCGGCTTTCATTTTTTCTCACTTTAGGTCTTTTTCACCTCATATCTACTCAATTTCCGGTTGTTTTAGCTGGATAAGTGACCAGAAAGGGCCAAAAGTGGAAAGAAACCATTGTCATATAAAAAATTTGAGATAAATGAAAGTGGGTTTGCAAAAGAGGGACCAACAGAAAAAACAAAAACCTTTCCAAAATAAACCAGACCCTAAAGTCTGCTTTGTGTTTTTTTACTTTGTTTTTACCAGGGATGCCAACCAATAGCTTGTACACCATTTGTCGGGAGCGCTTTATAGTTAGTAGCCAGCTTACCTTGAATTCACATTTGACGGAATTCAAGGACCATGAGCTGGTCAAGAGCAAGAGGAAATCTGATGGCCAGGATTGCTTGTGCATCCCTCTCTCGGATGAAGCAATTGAAAAACTTATTGCGGAGATTGGCCAATAGGCACACAGGACTCTCCTCCTCCCAAAAAAAGTCCTATTTGAGTAATGTACGATTTTTGTATCTACCATCTGATGTAATAGGTTCTTTTGACACCCATCACGAGTGTCATAATGTGTCACGAGATGATTTGAGGGTCCTACGGTGCTCCGTTTGACTTCAAAGTGGTTCCTACCGCCTAACCCCCAAACCGCCTTAGACCCGTTGTTGTTTTTGCTGGCAAAACAGGGTGTGGGCTAGGGGAGATGGGGGGAAGAACCACTTTGAGGTCAAAGAGAGCACTGAAGGCCACTCAAATCGTCTGGTGTCATATGAACCGCAGCCTTTAATTTTGGTAGATGTATGAAAACATCTACAGTTGTTCAGTTATTAAGGGGCAGTAGGTCAAAGGTTAACCGGGGGAACACGATTGTCTTTCAATGGTTCGGCGTACCATTTTAAATATCATGTTTCTTCAGTGGTCTTTGACATTCTCCTGGTCTTCCCTCAGAGTTTTACATTGCCATTTTAACCTTACTAGCATTTTGACCCGTGCCATTCACGGGGTTAAAAAAATCTTTTTCGCTTCTGAATTTTTTTCAATACAATAAATAAAGATAATATATTTCTCACAAATTTTTAATAACATAAAAAAAAAAGACAAAGTACTTAACGTAGTTTCTTTAATACTAAATTTTCTAAAAAACCTCAGGGTGTAAAATATTTTTGGTATAGTTGTAAGGGTTTTCATTTTCATCTAGAAAAAATATTTTGAATCGTGTCTTTGTATTCACTTATGAAATAGAAACATAAAACTGACAATGAGTGAACATTGACTTGGTTAAAATAATCCAATAAATGACAATATTCGACCTTGATTTTTGTTCAATGTAATTGCAAAACATAAAACCATTCGGAATTGTCTTCTTTGGAATTTCAGGGTAGTCCTAGATGGATGGTGCCAAATTCAATGGTATATATAAACCTTTTCCCTGATCGACTTAATTTCACAAAACCAACAATAACACTGACCCC